AAAAAGGAACGCATCGGCCTAACTCTACGTCCTCACAACGACCCAGAAAACCTTAATAGACCGCTACGGCCTCCTAGGCGTGCATCGTCGACGATGACCCTGGTATCGCGGCCTTCGTCCAAGGGTTCTCCCACAGGGTTACCTTGGACAGGTTCGCCTAAGGGTTGGAATCGCGACTAGCGCCTAGGCACCGAATCGGCTCATTACTCCATTGTGCCTCAGATACTCTTCGGCCAAAGGAGTGGGGGACTGGGGGACTGTATCGGCCACAAGAAGAGAGAGCGCAACGGCCTTAATGCAAAAAGGATGCGCTACGGCTCACCAACAACAAAAGACGGGCGATTCGCCTCAAAAAAGCATTAAGAGTCGCGTCAGCTACCTCAATGGCATTGCGGGTCACATCGGCCGCAGAGCCCAAAATGAAAAACCCAAATCAAACGCTTCGACAAATCAAAGGCGTGCATCGCATCGTCTACATAAATGGAATCAACCATCTCCATCTCATGAAAATATGTCACCGCTACGGCCAAAAGAATGGATGGGAGCTCTTCGGCCCCAACAAGATGACGACGAAAGCATGCCAACTTATCCACCAAGGATTCATCGCATCATCTACAAAAAAGAAAGCGCATCGCCTCGTCTTCAAAGGCACTTCCACAGAGTGTGCATCGGCCCGCATCGGCCCGCATCGGCCCGCATCAAATAAGGGAACCGCTTCATCCAAAATCGAAGCAGGAACTCTTCGGCCATCAAACGCCTTAGACTCACGCAACGGCCAGCCAGAAAGGAACAAGCACTCCCTTTCGCTTCGGTTTCACCTCAGCTCAGAGAGTGGGGAACTCCTGATAGAGTATATGGGCCTGGACCCCATGGCCCACATACTCAACGGCCCAAAAGACACCAGCGGGACACCCGCATCGTCCAGAGGCACGTAGCGTCCAAGAGAGAAGATATCGCCTGATTTCTATGGACCGCGTCGTCCATGGACCGCGTCGTCCATGGACCGCATCGTCCGTGGACCGCTTCGTCCGGACTTCGTCCGGGCAGAATGTATTTTCCTATTTTTTGTACTAAGTGTTGTACTCAGCCCATTAGTGGCCTTATTCGCCCAAAGAAGGCATGATTATTGTAATGGGCCTTCTAAGCCCAAGGCTAGGGGCCCAAATCCACATTTTTACCTATAAATAGACCCCAAGGGGCTAATTATAGGGGGTTCCAAATTGAGAAATATAATTACTCACTTTCTCTCTCTAGCTCTCACTTCTCTCTAAAATTAAATACTCTATCAATGTCGGTTATAAATGACACTAAATGCTATAATAACAAACACGGTAAGTGTTAGCAACGGCTATGACTAACAATGTTTGTAACATTATTAACTTGAGATTTTTTTTTAGGATATGACTAAAACTCGTTGAGTTTATCTAAATACTATTAACTTAGTTTTAGACATTTGTATGACCGAAAATCCAAAAAATATATACTATCTCCGTCCCGATGGACTTTGCCAAGTGCAAAGTAAGTGAGAAATAAGAATAGTAAAAATTGTGTGGTTGAGATTTGTGCAGGGGAGAGAAAAATGTACAGAACCACAAATTAGTTGCTTTAATAAGAAAGTGGCAAAGTTTTTTGGGACAACCGAAAAGTGAAAGTTAGCAAAGTCCAATGGGACGGAGGAAGTATATGTTTATATTTAAATGTTGAATGATGAAAATACCCTTATTTAAAATATGTTCATTTTCCATTAATTTCGTCCAATTAAAGTATTTCTACTCTTGCTAATGGTTTAGCCCATTCTTTGTTGTTACTATGAGGTCATGAAGCCCAAGAAGATTTTGCTCATTGGTGTCAATTAGGAGCACTTTATATTGCCATTACTGCATGACATTACTGCTCATTCGGCCGGTAATAAACACTTCCGCCCAAATTAATTCTTTCCTAATTCACTTTGAGAATTTATTTATAGTTTTTATTTTTTATTTTTTTAGATCTAGTAATTTTATTATTTTAGGCCTAATTAAGTATATTGTGTTTCATGGAGAAATTATTGTTCTGTGTTACTTTACTACCGATCATAATCACTGCACAACAAACTTTATTAATGCATATATTCATTGTCATGTATAACATATATATTCACTGCACAACACGCTTCGTCAATGCATTCATTCACTGCACATATAGAACATTATATATTGTCATGTTCACTCCCCATATTCAACTGTATCTATTGTCATGTTCACTAGTCATGCTCAAAGTGTATGTTCACTGCCCATATTTAATGCCCACATACCCTAATTTCAAAAATAGGAAAAGAAATTGAGAATGGAGGCGGCCGGAGAGTTGGAGTGCGGCCGTGCGGATAGAGGCGACGGCACGGCCGCGGCAGCGGCCCAGCATGTGGGGTGGCTGAGCGCTATGGCATGGTGACGGTTGCGGCATAACGATGGATTGGTTATACATAGCACAAAAAGAAAGGGCATTATTACTAGACTCAAGAGCAGAAAATCCGAATCGGGCAGAAAATAGAAAAGAATCACATTCGTTTGTAGAAGACCAGCGGAATAGGGGGTTTTAAACCCTAGAGCCGCCATAGCTTTTCGGGTCGAAGGTAAGGGCATGTGGTCGTTGGGGAAGGTCCTAACAAGATCGAAACGGGTATTTACAGAAAGAATCCGAATGTCCGAATCGGAGAACTTGACCGCCGGGAAGCCTTTGAACCGCCCGAACTTAGCTACAATTCACTGTAAATCATCGTCGGAGAAGGAGATGGGTTGAGATTGCACTCGTTGGCCTAAGATGGAATCCTTTACCACCACTGCAAACGTGGACCGCGAGGTACCGACCCTTACCTGGAGCCCCTCCGCCGGCTACATTAAGATGCTGCTCGTGCGTCGGGAAAGTGAAATTCGACGGTTCTCTCTGATTTACGCTCCATCCCGCGATTCAATCCTTTCGATTATAGTTATGCGTCAGGTGAGAAGCTACAATCGCGGAATTAAGAGAGAAGGTAGAGGAGAAGCAACACAAGGCTCAAGTCAGACCACGACATCAACAAACAGAAGGAGGAAATCAGTGGTTAACTTCAGGGACTGTACACACAGAAAAAAGAACGAAGATAACCCTCTACCGCTCTTTATACTATTAAGAAATAAAACTGAATATGATCAAGTACATATATCTCTAAAAAGTGATCATCTTCATTGCCTTCACCTCTAATCTCACAAAGATTAAAGAAAAAGAAAATAAGTGGGCGACAACCTAGAGACAGACCAAGCAATGTAGGCGAAGAGCAAATGACGAAGGCAACACAAATGAAGGCAGATTTGGCGTTCAGAGGGTGTCGAGATGGTTGCAGACGGATACGGGGCTGTTTGCATTTAGAACTTATGATGCATGCAAGCGCAGAAGCATACGGGGTGGTGTTTGAGGATATTGTTGGTCCATTTAATTTAATCACTTTTTTTTGCCTAAAATAAAATTATGTCCTACTTTTGTCCGAAAAAAACCAAGTCTACTTTCTTCATTATTTCAAAACATTTTCTACATTTCAATAAGTGATATAAATGATACATTTAGGATGTTTTTACTTGGACAATTTTCAGTCCAAGACCATACCAAAACAAGCCAGATTTAAACAGACCAGACTAGATTTAAACAGATCAGATCAGACTTTAATAGACCAAACCCGATCACACTTCCATAATTATAAAATTCACAAACACCAAACATTTACTAAACCAATTCAAACCAGATCAGACTTCCATAATTATAAAATTCACAAACACCATACATTTACCAAACCAATTCAAACCAGATCAAACCAGACTAACAAATTCAGTTCAAATAAAAACATTCTGAAAGTGTAAATTTTCCAAGAAAAATATTTTTCATAGGGGGTGTTTGGTTAGGAGGCTATCAGCCAATTTTTGGCTTATTTGACCGCCTTTTAGCTTTTTGACCAAATAAATAGCTAATTCGGGTGTTTGGTTAATTGGCTTTTTAACTTGGCCTTGTGCATCAAACAGCTAAAATTTAAAAAACCAATGAATACAGCGTTTTGGACTTAGGCCGCTGGAATATTTATAGCAAATTCCTATTGTGCCCACATTACCTCCTTTTGTTCCTGTTCGTCACTTCGTTTTCCATTTTGGCCGCATGCTTATTTATAATTCACCGTGAGACAAGGCCTCAAATACTGTACAACTATGGGGCATGGGCTATCCATCTATCATGACTACATGATTAAATAAATTATAAATACGAAGTATATAATAATATTATACTACCATAAGTTTAATGTTTGGACATGTTTTGCTAATACCGAGTATAAACTTGAAACCATGAGTTTAATGTTTGGACATGTTTTGCTAATACGGAGTATAAACTTGAAACCATGAGTTTAATGTTTGGACATGTTTTGCAAAACTATGTGTTGAAAAAATTTATTTTTATTAAATAAAAACAGATTTAGTGGCTGTATTAGTAATATTAGCAAAATGTGTTAAACGCATACGTAGTATAAAAGTAGTTAGTAAACAAAATAAATTAATGGATGTTCTTAACAGTAATTTAACAATTTATCAGCCGACTGTAAACAGTTGTATAACCAAACACTGTTTTATAAACCGCTAATATTATCAGCTAATCAAAACAGCCAACAGAATCTACTGTTACCAAACAGCCGACAGCCAATTGCCAAACACCCCCTAATCAATTCGTTCCTCATCGAGTCCCTAATCCCTATTGGTGATTAAGATAATATAGTTTATCATGAAGTCCTTGGAATTGACATTTTGTATTAAATGTTTTATATTCATATATATTGTCGATGTCATTCCAAATGTTTTCATATTTATCTACATATTCCTAATTCATCATTCTTCATTTAATCATTTAATATAGTTATACTATTACTAGTGGTTATTCAATTAGTTTAGTATAGATATCATATTAATGCAGTCATACATACCAAACAAGCTTATATGTGCAATACTATTGCCCTATGAGTATATAAACATTTCAAAAAGACAAGTTAGACATGTAATATGGAGCAGCAGAAATGGAATATGGTAAAAGCAGAGGGTACGTACTTAGGAGCATATTTGTCATCTCCCCAATTACGAACAGCATGATAAAGCTTACCAGTCTGTGAACTTAGGTTACTAAACTCACTTTTGTTCTAAGTAAGCAGCTAAAACGTAACCATCATTTCCACTAATATATATATATATGAGTAATCTTCCGGTCAGGAAATTCCTGACCGGAGCGCCGTCCGGCCTCCTCCATTTGGGGACCTTCCCAGTGGTATTTTTTGCTCAAATTTTTTGTGTATGTTCCTCATCAAGTCTAGTTCATCCGTACCAAATTTGAGCAAAAAATTCAATCGGGAAGGTCGTCAAATGATTTTTGCAAGTTAACTGGTCCGGAATATACATATAAAACGCAGAGAACTTGCAAAAATCATTTGACAACCTTTCCGATTGAATTTTTTGCTCAAATTTGGTATGGATGAACTAGACTTGATGAGGAACATACACAAAAAAATTGGGCAAAAAATACCACCGGGAACCACCTCAAATTGAGGTGGCCGGACAGGGGAGTGGTCCGGCCTGGCCGGACCTGAATAACTCTCTCTCTCTCTCTCTCTCTCTCTCTCTCTCTCTCTCTCTCTCTCTCTCTCTCTCTCTATATATATATATATATATATATATATATATATATTGAAACCATGGCTGTTTAAGAGCAGAAGAAATCGGATGTCCTTCCATTACATATCAGGAGGGTGAGGGTTTAAGAGTTGCATAAAAACCAGAAGGCTTCTTACTTAAAATAAACTTCTGCTGTTGATAAGGCACGACTAGAACTCAAAATCTCATTTCTTGCTTCTACCTCCTCCGCGTACGAGAACCTTGTCTGAGAAAAAATAAACACCTTCTTGCATGTCGGAAAGCAGCCTATCAGTCCCGTTATCAAATGCACTTCAGATTTGGATGCTGAATACACGCTAAGCTTCAAAGTTTGGAGGTCATTGTGTCTGTGATGAAGCCTGTGAAGTCCTTCCAAGAGATTAGAAACACTCTCACCACAAGTAGGCGAGTCTAATCCACGGAGCTACACAAAAATGATGATTAAGATCAACACAACATTGGTTCAAAAAAAAAACACAACATTTACACACGATAAGAACCAAAATTGAATCTGTGATCGCTCATAGGTATAACCATCACTAAGCAATTTATATCTGAAAACAAGAATTACCTGAAAACATATTTCAAGTTCGCATAATTTTGGGCAACTTCTCAGCAAATTAACAAGCTTAGAGTTACTATCAGAACCTGGATAGTAATCACCTGAAAGGTTTAAGTATTTCACGTCTAACATTGGCATTTGAAGTCCCTTTCTACCAAAATCATCAACAACACCCTTGCAAAAGTAATACCGAAAAAATCAATCATTGGCTATAAAACATTTAAGAATTGTATTAGCTTAGAAAACATACCCATATAGCATTACAACACAAATGAAGCCTAGAAACAGATCCCAAATCTAAGTTTGCAGGGAGAAAACCACCAACGGGTTTGTCTTTTTCATTGGTAGGGTTGTAGCAAAACATATCGTTATTATCATCACCTCCACTACTGCAACTGTCATCAGAGTCCCTTTCATCATCATCAGAGTAGTAATCATCCTCCTCCTCCTCCTCAACATCATCATCACCACTAATGTAACATTTTTCGATTGATAAAATACCAAGTTTCGGAGCAGTAATGTTAAAATGAGAGATGTCTGTGCATCTGCTAAATGTCAGTCTTTGGAGCTTTGGAAGATCAACGGCATGATGTTGAAGACTACTTGCACCAAAATGAACAAGATCAAAGCTAAGAAAAGTGACATTGGGAAACATGCAACGGGGTGTTATCTGGTCTATTTTAACACCACAAGCATAAAATGTCTTCAGAGTAGAGCATTTAAGGATGCAGGGCGGCAGCCGGTAATTCCTATCATCATCACTATATATCTGAAGGTCGAGTTCTTGAACACCTTTCTTTGTGACAGAGAGGAACAACTTATCGAAATCACCTCTATATACTTGCTGCCCAAAATACATGTCAAATCTTTTAATATTTCCATTGTGCTTCTTGAAGTAATCGTTGACTATATCATGCCATTTGTCTGGGTTTTTAATAAAATCACAGTAAAGGATATAATGGAAGGAAGCATCAAAAGCAACCTCAGTAAGACTGTACCAGGCATCTCTCCAAACAGTGTTTAAGACGGCCATGGTAGCAGCTTCTTCAATCCACAATTTTCCCATAATCTTGTCAAGTATATCTGCAGGAAGTTCACTGATTCTGTCTCGTTCCTCCATAGCTTAAACCTTAAAGTAAACAAGCCAAACAGAAAGAACCAATTACAGATTATCAAAAACATAATCCCAAAATTATAGTTTAATTGACGTATATACTACATAAATTGCAAAAGTCATTTTTGGGCATAAAGAAGGTAGATAGACATATCAACCACAACAAGATTACGAAACCAGGAATCCAATGCTATTCTTCACATTAAAAAAATCAGAGGTGTGCTTCCTTTGAAAACAAAAGTGATGGCAGGAATTGAAAGAGTGTGGGGCGATTAAATTGACGGTATATAGTATGAAAAAACATGAAATGCAAGGTGATAAACATACAGCCTTATATTAGAGTAGATAGACGTGCTTCAGATTTGCAGATTAGGGCAGTGGAGACTGGAGAAGTTGGGGCTAGCCAGAGCCAGGGAGCGGCCAGACTTCGGAGTGAAGACGAGCAATGTTGAAGGCGGCCCTCAATTGATACAATGATACTTACCCATTTGGTAATGGTAATTATGGGAGCGAGAAATTTGGTTTAGGGGGGAGAACATGTAGCCCACCCATTACACGGCTATACAAACATGGCCATTTTTATTCGAAGGGGAGTAAAAAAATAATCTAATATAAGGTCATGCACTCAATAAAGCGTAGCAATTTGATTTTGTTTCTTGGCTAAAGGGTCAAATAGTTTCTTGTACCTTTTCGAATTTCTCAATTTGCCCCTGAACCCATAAAAGCTCCAATTAGCTCCATGAACTCGATAAAAAGATTCAAAATTCACTTTTAGCGGGTCACAAGTCGATCATTGCCACGCGGGGGCGGAGCCAGGACACTGGGCCGGTACAAAGAATATTTATGAAAAAAATTTACACCTAATTTTTTACACTAAAAATTAAGACATTTTTAAAATTTGGGCTGGGCCAGGGCTAGGTCCGGCCCACCCCTAGCTACGCCAATGTTGCCATGTCACCCGGTAGGGTGCCAATTGTGCATGTGAAGTGGCAACTTAGGGGTCAAATAATCCCCTGAACCCGATCGTTCACAGTTAATTCAAAATAAAATAAAATAAATATAAAAAATAAAATTATAAATAAAATACATGTCTAAGATATAAGATATATTAATATAAAATATTTATCGTTCACAGTTAATTCAAAATAAAATGTAAAATATAAACTAAAAAAAATATGTATGTTTATTTTCATATTTTATAACTACTACGTATATTTCATATAAGAAATAAAAAATGTATTTTTACCAACTATATTTAAATTTTTATTTTATGTATTATATCTAATGGTTTGTAATATATAACACAAATTTTAGGTTTTTGGTTTGATATATAATTTATACGAAGCATTATGTTTGAATTATATGTTTGTATTTTTTCGTTTCATACTAAAAATATACTCAAAATAAATATGTAACTGTTTTTTTTTAAAGTTACCAATTACACTTTTTTATATCTATAGTAACATAAAAATTACTCATATATAAGAATTAAAATATAAAAATAGTAACTACATATTTATCTTATTTATAATAAATACATTAAAGTCTTTTTTACGTATTATATATAAGAATTAATTTCTTTTAGTTTATACTACCTCCGTCCCTTAAAACATTGTCAAGTTTGACCAACACGGGGATTAATAAAGTAAAAACTATGTGATTGAGGTTTGTGCAGAGGAGAGAGAATTAACAAAAACCACAAATTCTTTACTTAAAAGGGAAAATGGCAAAGTTAGTGGGACATCCAAAAAAGGAAAGTTGGCAAAGTTTTAAGGGACAGAGGGAGTATTTTATTTCATTATTTTGAGTTTACCCAAAAATATAAAAATATTTATATTTTATATTTTGACTTATAATTTATTCTATTTTTTATTTTCTATTTTAATTTTTTATTTCTATTTTTCATAATTTTGCTTTTTTTAAGGGTTGAAGGGGTAAATTGAACATTTGATCGGGTTCAAGGGCTTATTTGACCCCCTAAGTTGCAACATCACTTGCACGGTTGGCACCCTACCGGGTGATGTGGCGATGACCGGCTTGTAACCTACTAAAAGTGTAATTTGAATCTTTTTATCAAGTTCAGGGTGCTAATTGGAGCTTTTTTGGGTTCAAGGGGCAAATTGAGCAATCCGAACGGTACATGGGCCTATTTGACCCTTAAGCCTTGTTTCTTTTATGGGAAAGTTCCCAAAATAGGACTACACCAGTTTGAAAATTCCAAAATAGGACTGCCATATTTTTTATTCCCAAAATAGGAGTAATTAATGTCAAGTTTGGATAATATTGTCATGTTTGAAGTCTGGTACTGCCAAAACATGATAGTAATTAGTCCTATTTTAGAAAAAAAAAAATGACAGTCCTATTTTGGAATTTCCAAACATTTTTAGTCCTATTTCGGGTAATATTTTCTTCTTTTATTGGCGAAATGGAAGTGAAGTTGGGAGGAAGCGCTTGAAATAAAACGTTAGAAAAGATTAGGAGCCCGTTTGATAGCACCAAAATAGGCTGTTTTGGCTGATTCTGCTGAAATTTATGAAGTTCTGGCTGAAATGGCAGCATTGGCTGATTCTGCTGATTTAAGAAAAAATTATTTTTAAAATATATTTTATTAATAAAATAAAGAAAAAATTATGTGTAAAAATAGTTTATATGGTCATCTATAGGGCTGAGCGCGGATCTGGGAATTCCCGTTCCGTGCCGAGGAACCGTCCCGAACCGTTCCAGAACCAATAGAACCGGAAAAATGTAATACCGTACCGTACCGTACCGAGTTTTTTTAATAATATGGTACGGTACCGGTTCTTAGTGAGAACCGTACCAGAACCGTCCCGGAACCGTACCGAACCGAACCGTCTCGTACCGTCCCGAATTGTCCCAAAAACTAGTGTTATAATATAATAATAAGTTTTATATATGATATAATATATTATATACCGAGTATAATTGTCCGTATATTACTCTTACATCTTCTTTGGGCCCAATCCAATTATTAAAACAAAAACACTAAATGATTCGGAGTATAAATAATGCTATGTAAATAGAACAAAAACTCTTAAACCTAATTCAGTCGGCAACATATCCTCTAGCAGACCAAAAAGTCCAAAAGTGAGGAACGGCAGAACTAATCGCCTTTGGTGTTCCTCCTCAATTCGGCTCACCTACAAGGCTAATATAATCTTGCAAGTTCTTCTCTTCAATTTTTGTAGAGTTATTTATAAATGTTAAAATTTAAAGTTTTTATATTTCATGGGGGTTATTTAGTTATTTAAGAACCGTACCGAACCGTACCGTACCGGACCGAAAATTGGTACGGAACGGGACAGGTTCTACATATCTGCGGGACGGTACCGGTTCTTGATTTTAAAAAGAACCGTACTATGGAACGGGACAGGTTTTTTGAAATAACCGTCCCGTACCGTCCCACGCTCACCCCTAGTCATCTACAGTAACTTCAGCCAATACAGTCATAAAAGTAACTTCAACCTTACTTTTTATGATTATTACAGAATTCAGCGCGCGAAAACAAAAGTTACGTGTTTGGTGAAAAAGTTGGCTGATAAGCCTGATAAACCGAAAAACAATGTTACCAAACGGCCTCTAGAACAAGGATGGAGTAAAACGTTAGAGCCTGTTGTCAATGTCATTACAAATGTTTTTAATTTTTTCTTTGTCGTAAGTCAAGGCCAAAAAGCTATCACTTCATTCACATATAGCATCTATATATACAAGGGAGGGGAGTTAGGGTTACATTTCATATGGGCCAATACATATGGGCTTGGAGTTTAATGGACATCCACTTAATTACATAACACTCCCCCTTGGATGTACATTACTAAATAAAAACATTACAAGAAAAATATACATTATTCTCTTTATATGCATTGATGATGCTGCCTCGTTAAAAACCCTGCCGAGGAAAACCCAGTGGGACAAAACCTTGGTCAAGGAAAAAAGAGTGCAACGCGTATATACTCCCCCTGTTGGCTGCATCACTTCAGGTCTTCTTGTTGAATCCAATTCAATCCAATCCGGTTGCTAACTTCTCGAATGAATTATCGTACTATGTGTATGCCTCGTTAAAAACCTTGTTGGAAAAACTCATTGGGAAAAAACCAATCAAGGAAAAGAGTACATAATATATGTAAAACGATGTGTTGTATTGACTGCCTCGTTAAAAATCTTTCACTAAGAAAACCATGCGGGAAAAACTTAGTAAAGGAAAAGAGTACAGTCATTGGCCTTTGGGCCTAATCTTCTGGATTGCATTTGAATTTACTCTTCTAGAGAAAAATAATATTCCGGATATTATGTATCATAATATGTTATTTCAAAGTCACAAACTGCCTCGTTAAAACCTTTGACCAAGAAAATGTTGGAATAATTGGGAGTATTTCAAATGAATAAATTATCTAATAATATTATTTTATTAATAAATTAGATATTTTTGTATATTAAAAAAATAATTTTAATGAATGATCATTGAGTTTTCCTAAAAATAACGGTAAGCACTTTAAATGTTCTTTTACTTAATTGAGACACGTTAGCTATTATTCAATTCATTGTTTAACAATGAATATTTTCAATGAGTGCTTTGGAGTAATAATAAGGCTAAAGGGTCAAATAGGTACATGAACTAACTTAAAGTGTTCAAATAGGTACATTAAGTCTAGTTTACTCATATCAAATTTCACCTAAAAATTAAATCGGGAAGGCAGTCAAATGATTTTCCAAAATGTACTGCGTTGTTTACCTGCGCAGTTATCTTCAAAAAATCATTTGACTGCCTTCCCGGTTGTATTTTTAGCTGAAATTTGGTATGGATAAACTAGACTTAATGAAGAAGATGCTCAAAAACTTTCATTAAAAAATTCCACCGGGAAACGCCCCAATTGGCGACGGCCGGGCAGAACCTCCTATATAAGGGGCTAATTGAACACTTTAAGTTAGTTCATGTACATATTTGACTCTTTAGCCTAATAATAATGGCTCAACGTTAGCCTAATCACATTAATACTATTTAATTTAATTTAAAAACATTAGCCTTATACTTAATACACCTGAGAAGCTCGATCGGCATTAGTATGTTTATATATATCACATGTTTGTGTGGTGCTCGAGTGTGATAGCAGTATTTGTTCAAAAGAATAATATATATTACTCTTCATATTTAGTGGCTAGAAAGTATATAATTTTGGAGTTAAACATCCCCTAACATTTTCACTCTGCTGGATTAATATAAGTTTCCACTCTCGTTGTTCTGTTACCGGCTAATGCCGAAGAGCTCGTTTTATCTTGGGGAAAGGTTTTCGCTAGTCGGAAATACTTTCTTGAGGACAGCATTTACGCGACTCGAGCTATATTATTTTCTAACGATTTTTTGCAGGTTTATCCGACAAATTCCTCCATCAATCTCAAGAAAGTATTTGGCGTCGGATATGTCTGCCCGTGTGATATCACAAAGCGTTGTCGCTGCACTCATCACGGCCATGTTATTCTTGCATGTGTGGTGTGACCTAGACTGGTATTTGGATATCTCTCTACGTATAATGCTTACTCTCTTTACTTTCCTACTTACAATCAACCATACTTTAACACCAATTTAGTATAGTGATTATATTTTAATTTCACATCATATATACTAATATACGAAACATACTCATATGTGCAATACTACAGAAAAATAATTGAAATATCACAAACTTTGAATGAGTGTAAAGACTCCTAATTAGGGATGTCAATTTAACCCGACCCAATGGTGACCGCACCGAACCGAACCAGTCAAAATGGGGAAACCCGCTTTGACTGGGTAACGGGTACGGGTAATACCTGATTTATGTAAACGGGTAATGGGGCAGTTATGGGTTTATACCTACCGGCCCTATTACCCGCCCCGTTTAATTTGGATACGGTTACCCACACCATTGCCTGACCCGCACAATCATCTTATATATTTTAATACTTTATGTATTTATTATTTGATATATTAAATATATATGAATAGTAGTCATTAGTACTTCGTATATGACATTTATTCCCTCTAATACTTTGAAACAATATTCAAGTAATCAGCTGTCCTTTGCAATTCTGGCGAGTTGGTACTCAAAGTTCATTATTTTACATTTTGAATTTTCAATATCCTTCCTTTGTTAACATGTACGTATTACAAGATTTATTTTCTTCCAATATTGATTATTTGATTTTCGTGATTTTCTCTATACATTTTCCATATTGTGACTATCTTAATTTTTCACCCAATAACTTTCATAAAACTCACTTATGAGTGTAAAGTCCAAATATCATGAAACATTGTTCTAGCTTGCTTTAATTTATGTAATTGCTACTAATTTTGTAGACATGTATTGGATGATTAGATTAATTTTGAATGGTTGCTCTAATTTATATGAAGTTTAAATTTAAATCATGAGATTTCTAAAACAGTAACTACAAGAATACCTAAATCATAGTATTAGAAGTACCTTTTTAGAAATAATTCCAAATCTATAATCAAAATAAAAGTTGCAAACAAAAATGCGACCCTGGTAACTTTAGTGTTTATAATTTTATCCAAATGTTATATCGTAGTCACTATAAAACTTACTCATGGTAACTAATAGTCACATTTATGTCCATATATTTTTCATTAGTAATATTTTAGGGAATAAACTTCCCATTTTAATTATGTTACTTGTGGTGCTATTTATTTTTAAATTTTTTAATTTAGGTGGTCATGATAAGTAGTTAGTCTTCATTTTAGGATTTATACTAATTCTGAAGAAAAAAAATTATTTTTTAATAAAATGATTACCCGCAGGGGCAGATGTAGCTTGAGGGCCTGAGGGGTATGGGGGCACTTGCCCCCAATAATTTTTTTGGGGGCAAGGTTAATATATACTAATTTTAGTAATTTTATTTTAAATGAAATAATATGCCCCCAATAATTTTTTTTCTTTTGCCCCCAACAATTCTTTTCCTTTCCCCACTAACTTTTTATTAGAAAATTAATCACATGTATCATTAAAGGTGTGCTTAATAATTGACGTGATATTTATCAAATTTAAATTTCCAAACAACTTAAAATTTTATGGGCATGCCAATAAAGAACTGAATGATGTTAAACTTGATTTTACAAGTTAAAATTTAACGACTCATACGATTAAATTTACTCTAAAATAAAGTAACAAAATATTTTTCTCTTTATAACAAAATCATTTTCTCTAAAATAAAGCGGTCCAGTCCAGCTAGTCGCCAACTCACTCTCTCTTACGGGAGGTTTCGGGTTCAAAACTCAATGGAGTGAGTTTCAGACCCAATTACTTCAGACCCCCACCCCAGACGTCCGGGAAAAAAAAATATACCGAGGAAATACACATTACACTTTATCTCTTTGGGTCATATTTTGTAAACTCGTGTTGTTGTATGACTATTTTTACATCAAGAACGTATAATTAATGATTTGGATACTAAACTTATTGAATGCAAGCATTTAGGTATAATTGTAAAAGAAGTTGAAAGGGTCTCAATAGTCTCGAGGACATAAAAGTACAACCCGTCCTTTTCGAATGGATTAATTTGGTAATTTGGTAATTTGGCACTGCCATCTTACAACAAGCAAAAACAATATATTTTCACTTTATTTCCTTTCAATAAAGCAAAAATAATGTGTCTTCCCATTTCTTTTTTGGAAAGTTTTTTGTGGCTAATATTCATTTACTTTCTTTTAGACAATTAATCATACATTTCCACATTATTCTCACTTTCTCAAACTCCGATTCAAGTGAAATCTGAAAGAATTTTATGGGACAGTGAAAGTATAAATAGGAGAGTCATATGACATAAATTGAATCAATTGAGGATGTAGCTATCTTCATCCTGTGTATGTTATCATGCCCCCAATAAGCTAAATTTCTGGATCCGCCACTGATTACCCGCGGGGAAACCATTACCTGCGGGGAAAACCATTACTCTCGCGTAAAAAAATACCCGACAAGTAATAGGGGCGGGTAATGGTATTACCCGACCCGAACCGCCCCGTTGCCATCCTTACTCCTCACTTTCATATGTAATTTAAATACCCCAAACTTTATGTAAAATGTTACATAAACACCATAATCATGTATTATCTATTTCAAAAATGTAAACTTATGATGTTGATTGTGTAATTTAAAATAGAAAATGTTGCTATTTATTTTACAATGGAAGTTTAGAAAGTTTAATTGTATCTTCATGAACGTTGAAGATTAAAAAGTTGAAATATTTTAATTAATGAAATTAACACAAAAAATTAACATTTTTGAAATAAACATGGAGTAATCGAAACCATGATGCCGATATAGTTTTTTATATAAAGTTTGGGGTATTTAAATTACATATGCAAGTTTTGTGTGCTTAACTCACATCCCACTTTGAAGGTATTTTAATGGCCTTTTTATATCAATATTACTATTATAATATGGATTCCCTATAAAGTGAGTAGATTTTAAAACGTCCAAAACTATGACTCCCAGACCAAACATCCTTTATTAAATACCGATTATTAAATTTATTATTATTTTTGTATTTGTATTATACTTAGTTACCACTAAGAGTAATAAATTATTGTCAACCACCCAGCCGCCACCACAACAATCGTTGTCGGAATTGTCATGCCGCCGGCTGTATCGCCGCCGCCGGCTGTATCGCCGCCGCCGGCTGTATCGCCGCCGCTGGCTGTATCGCCGCCGCTAGTCATTATCTCAGTGACTCCGATCAAGTGACTCCGGCCAAGTGACTTCGGTCAAAGTTACTCCGGTCAAAGTGACTCTGTCGCCACAGTGACTGCCCACCGGTCATAGTGACTGCTCAGTCTGCTCCGCCGACCACACTGACTGCCCACCGGCCACAGTGACTGCTCGCCGGTCACAGTGACTGTCCGTTTCCGGTCATAGTGACACGCCTTTTCTGATTTCACAACCCATCCCTTACACTGACAGTCACCACCGCGGTAACCACCACCACTGACAGTCACAACTAGAACATCCGGTCACTAGTCACCTCTGCCACTCCGGTCACCACCATCACACCCCGCTCCGCCCCCATGACTATTGCTCATCGGTTTCCCAACAACCGGCAGCTAGGTCCAAGGCCACCACACGACCCTAACAAGCAACCCTAGTCACCAAGATCTGGAATCTAACCGCCAGGATGTATAAATCTGCAGATCTGAGAAGATCTGTCAGACTCCACCAAAAAAGACATCGACGGAGTTTCGCCGAAGCGGCAGAGATCGACAAGCTCCACCGAAGATGACAACTACGGTGGTGCTCCAAAGCGGTGACGGTGGATTTACAGACAGGAGAAAGGGGAAGAAGAAGATTGGCGGCTACAGCTGTGTCGGAGAACACGAACGAGGGCGCTGGCGTCGGCTGGAGCAATGGCGGGGAGGGCGTTGGAGCTTCGTCTCTTGCATCCATGGCAGCTCTGGCCGTGCTTTGTGCGAATGGAGCGAGAAGGAAACCTGGGCAAATGAAGAGGGAAGGAAGTATCGAACGAATGATGAAAGAGGTAGGGCATCAGTCAGTTTTTTTGAAAAATTGAAAAGAGTCATAAATGTGGAAATCAAAAGTCATTTAATGATACCCGTGCCATTTTTTCTATTTTAATTATTTTTCCTGCAATACTAATACCATATGAATATATGAACTTTACTCTGTGGTTCATATATTCATATGAACTACAAAAGGCAAGTTAAACAAGTAATATGGAGCAGCTGAAATGGAATCTGGAGCAGCTAATATAAAGTGGGGGATACTTAGGAGCATATTTGTTCTCCCCCCATTACGAACAGCAAGATAAAGCCTAGCCGTCTATGCACCTGGGTCCTACCACATTACTAAACTTACTTTCGTTCTAACAAAACAGCTAATAACATAATCATTTTCACTAATATATATGGAAACCATTGCTGTTGAAGACCACAAGAAATCGGCTTCCCTTCCATTACATAACAGGAGGGTTTAGGAGTTGCATGAAAACCAAAAGGCTTCTTACTTCAAATAAATTTTTGCTGTTGATAAGGCACGACTAGAACTCAAAATCTCCTTTCTTATCTTTGCCTTCTCCTTGGACGTGAACCTTAGCCAACAAAAAATAAACACCTTCTTACATTTTGGGAAGCAGCCTATTAGTCCCGTTATAAATTGCACTTCGGATTTGGACACTGAGCATAAGCTAAGCTTCAACGTTTGGAGAGAGTTGTGTATGTGATGTAGCTTGTGAAGTCCTTCGAAAAGATTAGAAACACTCCCACTACAACTAGGCCAGCCTAATCCATGGGGCTACACAAAGAACGATGAATTAGATCAACTCAGCATTTACACAAAATGAGTACCAAAATTGAGTCTGTGATCGGTTCATGGGTATAACTGTCACTAGGCAATTCATATGTGAAAACAAGATTTACCTGAAAACTTATTTCAAGTTTGCATAATTTTGGGCAACTTCTCAGCAGATTAATAAACTTAGAGTTTATGTCAGAATCTGGATTGTAGACACCTGAAAGGTTTAGGTATTTCACATCTAACGTTGGCATTTGAGGTCCCATTCTACCAAAATCATCAACAACACCCTTGCAAAAGTAATACGAAAAAAAGTTAGAACCTTGGCTATAAATCATTTAATAATTGAATAGGCTAAGAACACATACCCCAATAGCATCACAACACAAATGAAGTGTATGAACAGATCTCAAATCCAAGTTCCCAGGGAGAAAACCACCACTTGATTTGTCTTTTCCCTTGTCAAAGTTATAGCGGCGTTCATCGTCATTATTGGCTGCATAGCGGTAGTCATCGTCGTCAGAGTTGTAATCTTCATCATCATCGTCAGAATAGTAATCATCGTCATCACTATCACTACGACGGTCATTGTCAGTGTCACGATCACTGCCAATGTAACATTCTACGATTGATAAACTACCAAGTCTCGGAGCAGTAATGTTGAAATTAGAGATGTTTTTACATCCTCTAAATGTTAGTCTTCGGAGCTTTCGAAGATCAACAGCATCAAGTTGACTACTTGGATCAAAATGAACACCATCAAAACTAAGAGCAGTGGCATTACGAAACATGCAACGGGGTCTTGTCGGGTCTATTTTAACACCACAAGCACGAAAAGTCTTCAGTGTAGGGCATTTAAGGATGCAGGTTGGCAGCCGGTATTTCCTACCATCATCACTGTATATCTGAATGACGAGTTGTTGAACACCTTTCTTCATGACAGAAAGGAATAACTTGTCGAATTCACATATATACACTTTCAGACGGAAGAAAACAACAAATTTTTTAATATTTCCCTTGTGCTTCTTGAGGTAATCATTGATTGTATCATGCCATGTGGCTGGGTTATCATCAAAATCTGAGTAAATGTTATGATAGAAGGAATCATCAAAAACAACCTCAGTAAGATTATACCAAGCATCTCTCCAAACAGAGGATAAGACAGCATTTCTAGCAGCTTCACCAATCCACAATTTTCCCATAATCTTGTCAATTAAATCTGCAGGAAGTTCACTGATTCGGTCTCGCTCCTCCATAGCTTAAACCTTAAAGTAAACAAGCCAAACACAAAGAACCAATTACTTTAAAATCAAAAAACATAAATCTAAAATTATGGTTGAATTTAACGTATTCTAGATAAATTGCAAACGTCAGTCGTGAGCAGAAAGAAGGTAACTACAAATATCAACCACAACAAGATATACGAAACCAGTAATCCAATGCTATTCTTCACATAAAAAAATCAGAGGTGTGATTCCTCTGGAAACAAAACTGATGGCAGCGATTTGGAGTGTGCAGCGATTGAATTGACGATATATAATACGAGTATTAAAAAACATGAAATGCAAGGTGATAAACATACAGCCTTATATTGAAGTAGACGTGCTTCAGATTGCAGATTAGGGCTAGCCAGAGGCAGTGAGCGGGCACACCTCGGATTGAAGAATGAAGACGGCCCTCGATTTATGCAACGCATTTGCAAATTAACTAATTATGATGGGACCAAGAAATTTGGTTTAGGGGTGAACACGTAGCCCATTAGGCGGCTAATGGGCGAGTTAATCCCACCAAACCCCTCTTAAAATATGAATTTGAAGTATTAGTTTCTTGTAATTTTTTTATGAACGATAGTTTCTTGTAATTTAAAACATTAAAAATGCGATTCTTGGGATCCGTAACCGTGGATTTATTTATACGGAGTATTATTTTTTGTATGAATTTGTTAATATTTGAATAAATTTAAGAAAAGATTATACTAATATCATGCTTTGAAAAGTAGTGGACAAAAATGTGACTTGGTCACTTTTAGTGACTATAATTGTGTTCAAAGTTACTACATTATAGTGACTACGATAGAAACATTGAACGCAATTATAGTCACTAAAAGTTACTAAGTCACATTTTTGTCCATGACTTTTTTCTTAGTAATATTTTAAGAAAAAACTCTAAATTTAAATAAAAACTATGATCAATTTTAAAATATCAAACTCTATTTTAATTGATAGATGTGATTATTATATTTATGATCATATTGTAAAATTATAATATTATAGCAGTTATAACTTTTTCATTATTTTAAACTATAATAAAAGGAATAAAATGTGACGGAAAAGAAATAACATTTGTTATTATACTTTTTATTATAGTTATAATAAAATTACAATAAAAAAAAAGTAAAAGTGAAAATTTTAACTATAGTTATAATTATAATTATATTTATAGCTTATTTGCTAATATTAAAATTTAATGAAAAGAACTAGAGTTCAAATTGTTATTTAAAAGCAACCCCATTTGCTGAAAATGTCGCAAATAATATGTAAATAAGGAGAAATTCAAGACCATCGGATCAGATCAAAATTTACTACTCCCTCCATATTTAAAAGTTCCCTACACTTTTCTTTTTGAGATGTACTCCCTCAATATCTGTTTAATTGTCACAATAGGGTTTTGTAGTAGTTTACGATAATTTATAGGTTTACTGTACACTTTTTGAAAAAGTATGAGATTTTTGATACTGTTGCTGCTTTTGGAGTGGATTTATTTGCTAAAAGTGGAAGTGAGACAGTTATTTTGACACGGTCAAAAAATGAAAGTGAAACATTTATGTGATTCGGAGGGAGTATTTAAAAGTCCTCTACACTTATATTTTTGGTAAGTTTACTCTTTATGAAATACTCAATTATTCTTACTTTTTTTACTTTTTATCTTCTTTTTAGTATTTTTTCACATTCTCTCATAATCTCATGGTTTTTCTACATTATTCACTATCTCTGCTATTCAATCCTAAAATATTGTGCCCAACATGATCAAATATTATTAATTAAAATATTATTCACATAATCTTGTTTATCAAGCGGTATATGTTGGATATCAAACGATGTTGGAAGTTTAATAAGTAGATCTGTCAGCTCTGGAGTAGCGCTGCCTCCTAGAGTTTTCCTAGGGTCGTTTGTCCGGCTACGATTGTTCGGTCGTGGTGCGAGTTTGGATTTTGCGTCTGTTAGTTACTGATCTAGGCACAACAGATTGTTTTTGTGTTTCTTTTTTGAGATTGGGGTCATCGACCTAATCGTTTTGGGATCTGTCTTGGTTGATTCGAGCAAGGCATCCGTTGGTTGTTCGGTCTCGACAATGAGCAGGTTCAGAGTTTTTGGCAGAGGGTTAGAGCAACAATTTTGCATGGAAGATGGCGAATGAGGCAGAGGAAGAAGAACTAGATCTAAATGAAACTGATGTTGAGGTTGTGGCGGATGAGCGGCTGGCGCCCCCCCCCCCCCCCCTCCTCCTGAGCCGCCGCCATGGAGTGCAAGCAAATCTAGGGTTTGGAAGAAGACTTATCTTATTTGTTTTGTTTATTTTTCCAGTAATTTTTATGTCTGTTTTGTTATTTGATTTTTCTTTATTATTCCTGTTTGTAAGACGTTGATTTTGGATATGGAGGATGAGAGGAATATGGTGACCGTTTTTGGCTTTTGGTTTCGCATTTATGGATCAGCGAATTATATTGCTACAGTGATTAATTCCGAGTCTGGTTCGCGGGATAACGGTTGTCAGATTTCTTTTTGTCATTTGACCCATACTCTGAATTATCTGTTGTGGATTTAAGTCGAATTCTTTCAAAAAAAAGAAAAAATATTGTGCCCAAAGCTAGTATAGAGAACATTTCAATGCGGAGGGACTATGAGGAAGGTATTGTAAATGGATATTGTGGACTTTTAAAAATTCACACTTTGAAATATATCAATGGACATGTATCAATTTCTTCAAAATTCATAGAGATAATTTGAGTTTGCACCCCATTTTATTGTCCAAATTGGACTTTAATTTGCACCCCATTTTTGAAAATCTTTCTTTTTGCACCCCAACCCCATATGAAAAGACAAAAATGCCCTCCATCAAGAATATGTTGAAGGCCAACAGTACAAAATTGTTAATGGAGCGGCATTTTTGTCTTTTCATATGGTGTTGGGGTGCAAAAACAAAGTTTTTAAAAAACGGGGTGCAAAGTCCAATTTGCACTATAATATGGGGTGCAAACTCAAATTACCCCAAATTTATAATAACAATTATAATTGCTTCTAAACACACATTTCTTTTATTACATTTTAATTTCATATTTTTCAATTGAACTTTAGTTTTTTACTAGCTTTCAAGCCCGTGCGATGCATAAACTAGCACGGGTAGTATGTAATTTAGCTAATTTGAAATTCGATTTCTTTCGGATCATTTTAAATGTGATTTAAAAGAAAAATAAACTTAGTCTAATATAAAGCCTGTTTGATAATACTAAAATATATCGAATTAATTTATTTTATTGAAATTGATTAAATTCTGACTGAATGGTCTGAATGAGAATAATCTCCCCAATCATAAAAAAATATGTAAAATATATTCCATTTGTGAAGCCAAGAAAAGATCATATGAAAATAGTTAAATTGATGTTCTACATAAGCATCTCAAGTAAATATAATTGTTATGAACCTGATTTTAAAGAATTCATAATCTCGTGTCCTCTAAAATTACTTTATTATGCACCTCAAGTTTTTTTCTTCCACTATTCCTCATTCAACTTGATGTGAAAACAGAGTACATACTTTTAAGTTTTAATAATAAGATGTTACATTTTACTCATTATTTCGTCACACTGTAAATGTAAAAAAATGTAACATTTTACTCATTATTTCATTACATTGAAAACAATTTTTAATTGTTATGAACATCTAAATTACTTTATTGAGCATTTCAAAATAATACGTTTCTAGAATTTCTCATTCAACTTGGCATGAGATACACATTTTAAAATTTTAATTGTGAGATCTTACATTTTACTCGTTAATAAGAACGTTTTTAATTGAATTAAAATTTTGGGTTTGATGTGGTATGAATTAATATGGTCTGGTAGATGTTTGTTTTACATTTTATGTGACTTATTATTATTATTATTATTATTATTATTATTATTATTATTATTATTATTATTATTATTATTATTATTATTATTATTATTATTATTATTATTATTATTATTATTATTATTATTATTATTATTATTATTATTATTATTATTATTATTATTATTATTATTATTATTATTATTACTACTACTACTACTATTATTAAAGTTTGATCTGATCTGATTTAATCTGGAACTTAAATCAATCCAATTAAAAATATTCTATTAAAATAAAAATAGGAATTTGTGAACATATAAAGATTTTCTAATTTGGATTAGGAATCTATTCAAAAGTAGAGGCACATTTAAATTGTAGTTGTAAAATAAGGAAATAACCAAACATATTTACTTTTTTTTGCTAGGCCTAAACTTATTTACTTGTAAAAATATATATACATGTATGTATTTATGTATGATATCAATTTTCATCCTTATTAAATAAGATAAGCTACCTGATCAAAAGTATTATTTTTAAGATTCTATATGAGAATATCTAATACTTTTAATTTCGTTTTTTAATTTCAATTATATGGTGGTTATAATTTTTATCATTATTTTATTAATTAAGAAAGAATTGTATGAAGATGGAGCAAAATGCGAAGTATTAACACAATTGCAAATCCGGGGCTTAGAATTTTAATCATTATCTCTTTCGAAAAAAGAATTTTAATCATTATCTCAACATTGAGTTTAGAAAAATAAAATATTACATTTTAGGAAATGGGACACTATCATTACATTTTTTTATTTTTATCAAATTACTTTGAAGACAAAATTAATAGCAATTTGGCTGATTTATCCGTTAAGTGCGCAAAAAACGAATATTTCATCTCTTTAATAGAATGTAATAAAAAATAAACAAGTATAAAAATAATTAAATGATTGTTACTCCGTGAGTCCGTGCTTAAAATTTGGTTATTAATTGTTTTGGTTCCAAATACAAAATTTAATACTTATCAAATACGTAATGAGTTTTGAAAAGTTACCAAATTAATTAAGGTGGATTTCTATGGATTTTTGTTTCCATATCAATATGCAATCAAAAATAGAATCTAGCTAATAAAAATAGAAGGTATAAAAATAACGAAATAATTAATATATATAATGACATGACAGGATTATGTGGCGCTTTTTATGCTCTTAAGAAATTCCTCTTATATATATATAATATGGGAACTCTTCCGGTAAGGTATACCGGAGCCGCTGTGCGGCCTCCACGTTTTGAGGACCTTCCCAGTGGAATTTTTTGATGAAATTTTTTGAGCATGTTCTTCATCAAGTCTAGTACATTCATACCAAATTTAAGCAAAAAATGCAATCAGAAAGACAGTCAAATGATTTTTGGAAGATAACTGCAATCTTTATATACATATAAAACGCAGTTATCTTCCAAAAATCGTTTGACTTCCTTCCCGATTGACTTTTTTGCTGAAATTGGGTATGGATGTACTAGGCTTGATGAAGAACATGCTAAAAAAAGTTCATCGAAAAATTCCACCGGGAAGGCCCTCAAAACGTGGAGGCCGCACGGCGGCTCCGGTAAGGTATACCTTACCGGAAGTTTTTCCTATATATATATATA